GGTATTGCCCTCACCCCTGCACTTGTCCACTTTGCTGGGGGACTCCCTCTGTATGATGCAGCGTGTACTTAATACCTAAACTACCTGGTGTTTTTGTCGAGCGTTTTGTGTTGTCTACGGCTTCCCTGTGTTTGTTCATTTGTACTGATTTTGTTTGTCCGTTTGTACTGAATGTATTTGTTTGTTCATTTGTACTGATTTTGTTTGTCCGTTTGTACTGATTTTGTTTGTCCGTTTGTACTGATTTTGTTTGTCCGTTTGTACTGAATGTATCAACAGAACCTCCGCAGCGACCAAGGCTTTCCTTAACGACACAGTAGCTGTCACCACAGTGTCAGCACAGACCAAAGCACAGCTGACACTGAAGAAATGTCCAAGAATACTCAAATTTCACTCCTTTTTTTTTCTTTCTGACATAACTGTCATCTATCAGTTACCAGATGTTTTCTGACATAGCCGTCATCTATCAGTTGCCAGATGTTTTCTGACATAGCCGTCATCTATCAGTTGCCAGATGTTTTCTGACATAGCTGTCATCTATCAGTTTCCAGATGTTTTCTGACATAGCTGTCGTCTATCAGTTGCCAGATGTTTTCTTTCATAGTTGTCATCTATCAGTTGCCAGATGTTTTCTGACATAGCTGTCATCTATCAGTTGCCAGATGTTTTCCGTGGACCAGAACATTTTGTCAATGGATGTCTCAAGCACATAATAATTATTTCATCACAATCTGGGGGGAACATGGTCAGAGAAAGTTGTCCACATTAGGCAGGATGCTAAAACTTTGTGTGGATGAATCGTGCGTGTGTCAGATGCATCATGTATGTGTGGTCCATCCTTGTGATAGGTGTTCGTGTACCCGCGTCTTGTGGTGTAGCGATTAAGCACTTCACTTCACTGTTTGTGGGTGGTTGGCGGGTGCTCTGGTGTGGTTTGCTCTTTCTTTAATATCAAACATCTATCGTTCTGACCTCTGCACCTTCTTTTTTGTGTTTGTTACTCTCTTGTAACACCTCTAATCTTCGGCACTTATATGACGTCATTGTGTTGCAAGTGCCGTAAAACTCTAATGAAAAAAAAAATGGAATCTTTAGTACATTTCAGTCTTTCTGGTAGGATGTTGTATCCTTCTCAACCCGGGTTGGCCCTGACAGGCAGGGTTGGAAGCCCACCTCCTAAATGATCGATAATGTGTTGATAGGGGCATAGAAATACATGTACTTATATTTTACATTTTAAATGTTTGTTTGTTATGGCTGGTGTCAGCATAGAGTGATAACAATCAAACCATTGGACCTTGTTTATATAGTCTACCTTTTCTTACCTTTTCAGCATTTAGAAGTTGACTTTTGACAAAATATTTATTTCTTAAGAACTTACAAATGATAGCACAGATTACTGTGGGTGGTTGACGGGTGCTCTGGTGTGGTGTGCTCCTTCTTTCCTATAAAAAATCTATCATCTCTATCTCCCCTTTTTTTGTGTGTTTATTACTCTCTTGTAACACCTCTAATCCTCGACACTTAGATTCTATATGACCTTATTGTGTTGCAAGTGCCGTAAAACTTTTACTCAAATTAAACAATCACTACACACACCTGAGGAGGGCTTTTGTTCTCTCTCTAGTCAGGGTTTTGTTGAGGG